CTTTTTTCTCAAATTGAATTGATGTCCAAAATTTGATGGTGAGTTAATAAATCACCCTGTATAAGTAAATTATATGTTTTAAAGTAGTGTAAATGCATAGGAAATGTTGACGTTAAAAATCTTATCTTGGCCACTTGCTTATCTTGGCCACTTAGAACATTTATTTCTTTTATAAAACTTTAAAAAATTTGTGCAATTAAAAGAAAATTTTAAATTTAAAAAAAAATCATTTTTTGAATTTGCTACGAGTTTAAACAGGGATACAAACATTTCAGAGGTTTGGAATAAAGTCAAAATCTACAATAAAGGAATTAATAGAAAAAACCATTTTGTATGTAAAGATGATACATGGAAAATGGACTTCCCTAGACCCTCCCACTTGTCATTTTATTTCCACATTTTCTCCACATAGTAATAAATATAATTATATTCTGAGGAGATTTGATATGATTGAGTTAAATAGGGTTATATCCAGAGTGAAAGAATCTGCTCCAGGAGTAGATCAAATATCATATTCGATATTAAAAAATATTCCCCCCATTGCTATAAAACCAAAATACCTGATGACTGGAACATTTTTTCTATAATGTGTGCTATACATCAATCGCATTATCCTCATGTCTGAGAAAGGTCTTTGAACATATCGCACATGGGCGACAACAGTGTCATAAGTCAAAAAAACTAAATTTTGGGGTTTTTAGTGTAATTAGTGTAAAATTACTCAAAGTTTATGCTGCAATTTGTAAAATCCATATCATAATTTTCATCAACAGTGTCATAAGTAAGTTTCCTGTAACTTGTGACAGTAATTTTGTTAGCGTGGGTTAGTAAAGTTAAAGTTGTCAACAATAAAATAATGAACAAGTGACGCTCCTCACCTAAAGCCAAAAGGTCGTGTGTCTAGGGTCTCCTTTAATGCGTTCGTACTTCCATAGTTGTACCACCGCAATCGGTGTTCAAATTCAAAAAATCAATTAATAATTCTACACGTGATCTACCAAGCAAGTGCTTTTTGCAAATTGCGTGTGGCACCTCCTCCTGGATTAAGTCCCAAAGTGTTCTACCTGTGAAAAAGAGTCTGAGGGAGGTGATTGGATACAACGAATAATTTTTCCTGGATTACCAACACAGAAAGAACACGTGCTAATAGTTGGCTGTCGAGGTTAAGGAATAATTTCACAACACCTGCCTGTCAATACACCTAAAGTCCAAGTCTGCATAAACAGGATAAGTAAATCTACCAAAATTGGATGACCTTTATAATACCCAAATACTAAATTTTAATGCGAACCTTAACTTATAAAGAACTCCTCCAGGTAAAAATTAAATATTCGCCAACAGTTTCGATAAGAACAGCAAGCATAGCCAAAGAACTCATAAATAAGGGCTCACATAAGCAGTCATTAAACACTCAAGTTCAGATAAACACTAGGCAAAAGAATCTCATCCTAAAGAAATAAACATCTGTAGATTACTTACTAACTAATTCCGACGGAGACCCGGACACATATGAACAGAAAGTACTTCAAGGCAAGGATAGGTCCTAGTAGCGTACTAACCAACCAAGCCCCATTCATGAACCCCAATTAAATAGGGTAATTACTAAATACCTGGTTTAGGGGGATTCCGGATTAGATTAGTTCCGAGTGACCTTAACCATCGACACTGTCATCCACGATCTCCTAGGCGAGATTTACCAGCCGAAGTTAAAATTCGGATCCAACAAACACAGGCAATGCTGTGCAGTGGCGGGATACGTAGGAGAACTGAAGTGGGGTAAAATAACCATGGGAAATCAGTTTAAGGCGTAATTACTTAATACCTGGTTTAGGGGGATTCCGGATTAGACTAGTTCCGAGTGACCTTAACCATCGACACTGTCATCCATGATCTCCTAGGCGAGATTTTCCATCCGAGGTTAAAATTCGGATCCAACAAACACAGGCAATGCTGTGCAATGGCGGGATACGTAGGAGAACTGAAGTGGGGTAAAATAACCCTGGGACGTTCCTCATATTCATAATCAAAAATAAAAGAATGAATAAATAAAAAATTGATCAACACATTTATAGCCATACAGACATATATACAAAATTCATGCACATATTTTCAGCAACACAGACATATCTCCAAAATTAATGCACACCTTCTTCGGCAACACAGACATATCTACAAATAGGTCTTATCCTAAAAGAGTATTTTCTAAAATCTAATTTTTAACTGGCTTAGAATCTTAGTGTGGTTCTTCATTTGCAAAGAAAATACTTTAAGTAAATATAATTTTACAAATATGTGAGAATTTTATTATTCAAAAATCTTTGACGGTCATTATCTCGGAATTAAGGTTTTACTACTTATGACACTGTTGTCGCCCATGTGCGATATGATAAAGGATAGAATGGATGGTGGATAGAGAGAGAGGGTACATACCCGCCTTTCTAGTTAGGTTTTCGAAAAGGATATAGCTCCATAGAGAACGTTTCCATTCTTGTGACAGATGTCATATCAAATCTCAAGAAAAAATCCCACACACTATTAATTTTTCTAGATATATCAGCAGTTTATGACAACGTATTACCATGCAAACTGGTAGAAATTCTCCTAAAAATCAAAACCCCTCTTCCCCTAAGTATAGATAATCTGGCAACTAAATCATAAAGTAATTTCAATTGAAACAAATTCTGGCGATATATTAGAAAGAACATCTTGACCCTCAGGGGTCAGTTCTTAGTTCACTTTTATTTAACTTATATACGACATTTATAAGAAAATCCCTACGTCAAGGTGTTAAATTATTAAAATATGCGGATGATTTAGTAGTATAAATATGAGGATACAAATATAAATACATCCAGAAATATTATAAATGAATCCCTAAATCAATTAAATAGCTTCCCATCAGACCATGGTCTTACTTTGAACCCATCTAAATCAAAAGCAATGTTGTTTACTAATTGGAAAATTGGAAAATTCTAGGATATTATTAATCAACCCAGAAGTAGAATTTGTAAAATCATTTAAGTTTCTGGGCATTTATCTTGATAATAAGTTAACATGAAAACACATTGAAAAGACAGCAGTTACCTGTTTTAATCAGATTAATATAATAAAAAGTTTGACTAAGGTTTACTGGGGGGGAGAACCTAAAACTCTTCTTACATTACATAAAGGTCTCATTCGCTCCAGACTGGATTATTTGAGTTTTCTTTTTATACACGCAGTAAAAAACTATCAAACAAATTGGATCAAGTCCAATATCAGGCTGCCAGAATATGCATGACTGTCATGAAATCAACCCCAACCAACGCTTTACTATTAGAATCTTGTCTTCCACCGCTTAATCTTAGGAGAAAATATCTAGGGGATAGATTTATCCTTAAAAAAATGGCAGTAGAAAACAATATTCGTTTACAAAATTTAAATAACTTATAAGAGAAATACCCTACAACAATATCAAAGCACAAAATCTCTAAAAACCATTGCCTACTCATCTCAATAAAAAAATTCAAAAAAATTAAAACAGAAATTATTACCAACAAAACCATACCGATTTTCAAATTTGACTTTTTTAAACAACTAACAGAAATTTCAATTGAATTAAACTGGGGAGTCGAAAAGGACATGAACCCATTACTAATTAACAAAATACTTAAACAAAAATTATCTCGTTATCCAGAATTCACACAAATTTATACTGACGGATCAGTAGACCCAATAAATAATACAACTTCATTTGGTATCTAAATTCCCAAAATAAACATTAAGAAATCATCATGGTCATGTGCCTTGAAACAAACATTAAGAAATTTTTTCTTCTATCAGATTCATATAGCGCTCTTCAAAGCTATAAAAATACGAAGTGGGACGGAAACAGTAACAACATTTGTTTGGGAATTGTCGAAATGTTCTCTGATATTTTTCACTCAGGGGGTCAGGGAATCTTAAGCTGGATTTATAGCAGATCAGCTAGCAAAAAATGGAGCTAAAAATAATATTATAAAACTTAAAATCCCTTCCAGTGAGATAATTAAGGTTGCACTATTAGATCTCCATTTAAATTGGAAAAACTCTTGGCAAGAATCCTCCAAACAGAGATACACACAATATCACAAAATAAATCTTGGAGAGTCCCGTGGTTTAATAACATTAAATACTTAAATAGAGAATCTATTACATTAATTATTAGATTTGGTCACTGTTGATCCCCACATCATTTATATAGAATAGGCGTAAAAGATAGTCCGCTTTGCGAATGCGGCCAGGTAGTGGATATAAACCATTTATTCTTCATTTGTGGGTTGCATGTTAACAACATAAACACTTTAATTAGTAGATTAGTAAATATCGGCCATAGCATGCCTTTCAATATACGCTCATTGTTAGCATGTCCTTTAACGAGAACGCACAGCATCATATCCAGATATATTATATATATAATTATTATATATATATAAACACTTTAATTAGTAGATTAGTAAACATCGGCCATAGCATGCCTTTCAATATACGCTCACTGTTAGCATGTCCTTTAACGAGAACGCACAGCATCATATCCAGATATATTGGAGATAGTAAAATAAAATTAAGATATGTTAAACATCCTTTTTTCCAGTAAACTCCAAATGTTTGTTTTGTCCCACCCTAACCTTACTTATAAAAGTGAAGGCACATACAACTAAGATAAACATAAAATCTGGTACACACATACAGCAGCGGGACCCAGAAAATTTGGACTAAAAGAATCCAAACAAATCTACTGGTGACTGGTTAAAAGAGCAACAACGGCTCAGACCAACTCCATTACTGAGGGAGAGGCTTAGGATACTCCTGGACGTAGTGGATAAAAATAGAGAGAGATTGCTGGTTCGCAAATTTGCGCCTATTATTATTTTATTTGGACGTCTGCTAGCATTACAAAATTTTGCAAATCATAGTAAAGTAATTAAAAGATATGTTAAAAATATACTCAATTTAACCAAAAATATAAATTGTTCACTTACTTGTGCTCTAAGATCGGAAATGGTGACAAACTTCTTCAAGACGTTCTTGGGCAAAATATAGGTGTATCCAGTCTCTTTAATATCATCCGAACTGACATAAATGTGGTTTGTCCTCAAATGCAAATTAGTTGCTGAAATTGCCCTCACTCTCCATTCAGTCTTCGAGTTGAACGTCTGCGTCTCGTAATTGCTCGTGGTGCTGGTAATAATTTCATCGCCGTGTTTGTTGACAGTTCTTGTAGTAGTAGCAGTGAGTTGCGACTGTTCCTTCGTTTGCTTTTCGATCTCGGCGATCTGTTGTCTCTGAGCAGATGGCGCGCTGATCTCCATACCGAGAATAATATCGCGAATTTCTGATTGGGTTAGAGAAGCAACGTTCACGCTGAAAAATGGAGATATTTTAGCACTTTTAAGTTTGAACCATAAGACATACGGGTGATTTTCAAAAAAATAAGTTTATCCTGTTTGTTAAAATAATTTTATTATTTCATTCACCGAAAGGGGAGTTGTTTTGCTTTTTGGCTCATAACTCGCTAACCGTGTATTTTTTCAGAATTTGACCTTTAATACTTTTGATTATGTACTAAATAAGGCACACGTTAAACCCCATTTCGCACCTTTATGATGTGCCCTTTTGCTATGCGCAGTGTGCAAAGTTAAGCGTTGCCTTCAAAATCACTTTTTTGTTTTTTTATTATAGCCCAATTTTAAAAGTAATCGATCACAAACCTTACGGTAATCAAACATAACCCAATTGACGATTTTTTGAGGTACTAGACTTTTTTCAAAAGTTACTGCTTTTCAATGAACAGGGGGTTCTTTTTTCAAAACTTTAATTTTTGTGGGGCACTTGCAATTAAAATAATTAAAAAAAACTACGGAATCGTTACGAGGATAAGTGTACCTAAAAATCTAGGGTACAACGAACTGGCTCATTAAAGCCGGTTGGGAAATAAAAAATGGGGTTTTTACTAGTCTATCACAGCTGTAACTAAAAGTATATAAAAATCCAATTACTGTCATTGTCTGTAAGCTCGTCATCGTTTTTTTTTTAATACATATTAGAATTATGGTACTTCAATTCGCCTTTTCCGAAATCCATGGATATTTTATTTTTAATCAACTATTTGTGAATGGAATCAGTGGGTTAGTAGACTAAGCCTAGAATCAGTAGTTCTACTGATTTCTCAGTAGGTATGGGAACACTGCATGACAGGAGAATGTTTGAGATTGTATTATTCTCTTATTGTCGTCCTTATTCCGTAATGTTAAGGCTTAATGTTTAATCTCACAGCAGGAACATATGGCTCAGTCCTGAGCAGAACGGTTAGAGAAAAAGAGAGGCGGAAAAAAGACGACAACAACAAATTAAAGAAAATCCGTTGTTACCTCAAGAAATACCGAAGAATCATGTAAAATACCTAAACAGAAAGAAAAAAAAGCAGGTAAAATTAATTAATGAGCAAAAGGACCGAGAAAACAGAGTAACAATAAAAAAAATGGTGAACAGATCTAATATCCTAATAAATAAATATACGCCCCCAGCAAGTGAACATACAGAGGGAGAAAGAGAAGATGGCCGTGTACAGTCAGGAATAAAAAGAAGAAAGGCAAACAAAAGAAAATTATACAAAAAGATCGAAAGCGATACAGGGAGCATATCGTTTCAGAAAACGACTTGATCGTTTAAACAATTTTTTTGAAAATAATAATGCCCTTAACACCAATTTCAAAGGATTCATGTTAAAAGGACAAATAGTTAATGATGTTGTTAAAAAGAAAATGCTGTTTGCAGAGGTAATTAAGGAGCACAAAACTAACATCTACCAAACGTCTTTTCGTACTTCAGAGAAACAATTGCTACGGAAAAGTATTAATGGAAGACTTGTTCGTAAATATAAATTAGTAAAAGAAGCATGAAAAATGTTTGGGATAGAAAATAACTTTAATGTAGTTAAGCAAGGAAAAAACATAAAAGAAAGAAGTTCGTACATTCCTTGAAAAAGAAGAAAGTAAGAAAGTAGTAAATTAATTCCAGGCCTAAAAACATAATTATAAAAGATAAAAGGCAGATGCAAATTCGATACCTTAATAGTAATTTAAAGATTCTACATGAGGAGTTTTTGCAATCATCAATTTAAACCATTTTGGATAAGGACTTCAAAAATCGATAAACGAGATACATGCTTATGTGAGACTCATAGCAATATGAAAATGCTTGTACATAAACTGTTTTGTTTAAACGGTTATAAATTCTAAGTCCATAAGATTTAATAAAACAATTATGTTGTTCGGAAAAAGAGGAAGAGCAATGTCTGTTTAGAAAGTGCATTCGTTGTAACGACAAACATATTTTTTATAACGACTTTATTTCCAATGACAAAGTGTCGTTTTTTAATGGATTACTAAAAAGGAAACAAGGGTATGATGAAAAAATAAGAATGTACAAATAACCAAGCACGAGCAACGTGGGGGATCTTGTTAATATATATATAGACTTAAAAATTCTTTCAAGTATATGGCCCATTGTGGCAATATCAACACCAGTTCACTGGTAGACGTGTAAAAAAAGAAAATATGACATACAACGAGATACTGATCAATAACTTTAGTGAAAACTTGAATACTAAATATTCCGAAGAAATTCAATCTGTACATTTTGGGGGTTCTCGAAAACAAATTACTCTTCACACAAGGGTTATGTATAAAATAAATAATATCCAATCAGAAAGTCTTAGACATGATCTATCAGCATTCTCGGCGCACACACACAGTGACAGTCCCAGTATACTGTATATTAGGGTGGTCGTTATGTCGGGTAAAAAAAATTAATCGGGCCGCCCCTTAAATTGACTCAAAATAGTAAAAAAAATGTGTGCTAAATTTCAGCCCTATAGGTCTATCGTAGATTACCCCTGTAAACCACTTTTTCACTAAAAATTTAATTATTTAATTAAAAATGATAAAGTAATTTTTTATTTTATATTTATTATAAATAATAATAATTGTTATTATTATAATTACGGAAGAAATATTAATCAAATTATGCATACAATACTATACAGGGTGATCCAAATTAAGGGCGCCCCATTGCTAACTTCGTTATTGTTGACCCTATAATGTCGGTAAAATTAGCAAACAATCAGTATTTTTTCTGCTGATTGCGAAGGTAAAACGATAAAAATAATTAAACGATTCACTTTGAAGATATTCACAATATCAAAATTTAGAATACAAACGCTTACTTAATTTTGATCACTCTGTATTTAAAAAATTAAAATGGTTTTAATATGGTTTCTTTATTTGCACCTGCGAAGAATTTGCGGTATTCAGAGATGAGCTGAGGAGCACACTGTCTTTGGTCCTCATCTTTCGTTATTAATTGATTAAACTCGGTAAATGAATTAACCCCCCTTTCAGCAACATCATTTACAACATTTTACGATTTTTAATGCATTTTGATATATCTCACTTTCGCTCCAAAGGGCTGGATCAATATACAAAAGTCTTGACTGATTCCGAACCGAACAAAGAAATTTCGTGTTTGAGACGTTACAAAATCATCCATTTCTTTTTTACAGAAAATAACCATAACTTTTTTTTTGTTCAATTCTTTAAGGAATCACATTTTCTATATCTTCAGATTGATTTGATTCCGTTACCATGCTTCGTTTCGTATTCAGTGATACTGAATCATCGAAAAATGCCATCGCAACAGATCCGAATTAAGGTACTACAAATGATTTTTGAATTTATTAATAGTAATCATTGACACCTCATCGCCAATGGATTTATATTCATGCAATTTTTTTAGAAATTGCAAGTCGTGATTGAGTGCCATATCTGCGTGCGGTCTTTATGTACAATGTACAATGTGGTACCTTAATTCGGAATCAGTTACGATGGCATTTTTTACGATTCTATAAGCATTATAGATCATCGTAAGCTATAGATTTACGAATTTACAGAAATTTTACAAGAGAACCCAGAATTGACCTATAAAACTGACAAGTTACTAGCTGGGTCACTTCAGAAATTATTAAAGGTCATCAAGAAATATTCAATTTTTTAGTGACAATTCCCATTTGGAAACTAAATATGACTCAGCGCGTAACACAGGCCACACGTAATAATAACACAGGCCAACAAAATAAAACAAGTGGTCTGCACCATGAATAAAACTATGTATTTTCGCTCGCTGAAACTGAATCTCAACTGTTTAGCCCCTACACGTCTGGATTTTTTTCTACAGTGTCCACGAATGGGTTTGCCAATATATTGGAAATACTTTTTATTATGCGTTTTACAAAAAAATTCTTTATAAAAACTTCTGCTTCTGCAAGATTCTCATTAAACAGTACATGGTGCTCAGAAATTATAAAAACAAGAGAGTACCTTTTTACTTACTATTTTATAGAAAAATTTAATAAGAGAAAATCGTTGACAATTCAAATTAAAGTCTAACTACAGAATTATTATTATTAGGAATTAAATTTAATTTATTATTATTTTTTTATTTAATATTTAATTTAAATTAATCTATTTATTTACTTATTTTACAGGCCCATAAATATAGTGACCTGTGATATGAATAAAACCATGTTATTTAATTGTTTTTTGGCCGCAGATCACTTTTTTGTAAGCCAATGTAATTATTATTTCACAATTAGTGTGAAATAGGAAGATTATGTATCTAATGAATACTAGCATGTTTTTCTCAATTATATACTGTATACTCGCAAAGGTGTATTTGGTAATAATTATTAATTTGTGTAAAATAATTTTAGTCGTGATTTTTGCACGTCCCGACTGGTAAAAAAAGAGAGACAGAGGGGAAGGCCCCAGGTGTTGCGGACATCGCTGTGGGAGAGGCGCAATCGCCCCATCCAACCGCGATACTCCCAACACAACCCACAAGCCCCTGCCTACCACTCCATCTCCCCAGTTCCCTACCTTGCCTCATGGCCGTTTTCAATTAATATATTTATTTGTTCATGTTTACAATCAATCGTTTTAGTTTTTCATTTTGGTTCACACGCCCGAGAGCGGTTAGTTATACATTTTACCTTATTTTATGTGTTAGTATACTTATCTGGAATAAAAATACAGTTTATATATGTATATCATATAATACGTAAAAATTTGGGATGGACGCCTGAGAAGCTTTATATGTATATTAAAAAAGGTGGGACCGGGTAAAACATAAGTGGGAATCAAGGGCAACTTGGAAGCAACCACCGGTGCATAACCCAGAGACCGTCGGCAAGCCGACCCACAGCGGTCGACATCGAAGGACGTGAGGCGCATCGGCTGGGCAGACCGAGTGCAGGCGTCACGAACACCGTCCGCAGGCCAGACAGCAGCATAGTAGGCATTTTCACC